GCTATCCCTCAGCTCTTCAGCTCAAGGTTAGTGCTCTACCACTTGAGCCACAACACCACTTCCGGCTTTTTTCTTTTTGTTTATGGTGCTGAGGAATCAAACCCAGGGCCTCATGCATGCAAGGCAAGCACTCTACCACTGAGCCACCTCCTCAGCCCTCTTTTCTTTTCTTTTTTTTTTTTAATCAGAGCAGCCATACAGAATCCAAAGCATGGTGAAAGATGAAAAGAACAGTCTTGGGTAGCCAAATGGGGATTACCAATGGAATGACCAAACAGTAGGTATTAAGATGGTACTAAATCTAGGATTGAGAACTGGGAACGGAGCTCAGTGGTTGAGTAATAGCTTAGCATTCATGAGATCCAGGACAGTAGGAAAAATAAAACCCAAGAGTGAACTTAGCATTTGAAACCAGGTTGATTAAAGGAGACCTGAAAAAGCCTGGCATCGTGGCACATGACTAGAACAACAGCACTCAAGAGGTCAAGGCAGGAAGAGTTTGAGACCAGCCTGAGCTACATAGTTAATTCAAAGCATACTGAGCTATGTTATGACCTTATCCCCAAAGAACCAAACCCAAAGAAAAACTCCTTGGTTTCCTATTGATCTACTCTACAGTTAATTTTTCAAGTTCAAACAGCTCCTAATCTTTCATGTTATAACAGCTCCACCTTGTGAATCTTGAGAGTATTGCTGAAAACTTAACTCCTATACAGATCTTTCATTTTTATATCTAAGAAGTGGTGTGGTACTAGCTAAATGTAATTCTTGAAAACTTACAGTGGGTAAAATAAACTTTAATAAGATTGGTCCTAAAGTTTCTCACTCATGAAAAATTACTGTTAAATTTTTCTAAAAACATTTAGTTATTTTATAGGAATATACAGTTATTTAGTCCTAGAGTTAAGTAATAGCTTTATTTTTATGCTACCTTCTCCTTGTTTCTCCAGGATGTGTTCCACATGGTTGTTGAAGTTCCACGTTGGTCCAATGCAAAAATGGAGGTAATGTTTCATCTATCTCAAGGAGATTTAGCACATTAGTTTTGATCTATTTTTCAGTCATACTCCCACTGTCTGCCAGTCTCCCTGCATATCCTGGACTTCACTTCCCCATACCTTGGTACTAATGTTCCCTAAGCCTTTTCTCTTTTTTTTTTTGGTCAGTTGTGGGGCTTGAACTTGGTACTGTCGCTGAGCTCTTTTGGTCAGGGCTAGTGCTCTACCAATTTGAACCACAGTACTACTTCCTTTTTTTTTTTTTCTTTGAGTGGTTAATTGGAGATAAGAGTCTCACAGACTTGCCTGCTCCGGCTAGGTTCGAACCATGAGCCTCAGATCTCAGCCTCCTAAGTAGCTAGGATTACAGGTGTGAACCACCGGTACCCTGCTTCTTTTCTCATCTTAAGACGAGAAATTTTATTGAATTGAGGGCTATAGTGATCTCATTGAAACTTTTGTCTCATTGTTCAGCTTTTTTTCCTGATGATACCTGACATAGTTGCCTTTTTGTTAATCACTATTTCACATTTTATATCATTTGAACTTTGTTTTATACATTTTCATATTTGCATACAGTAGACTTGGGTATTTGGATAATTTTAAATGCTTTAAAGGAAAACTGAAATTAGATGTTTGTTTTGTTTAATAGAAATCTTGATGCGGGCTGGGAAGGTGGCTCAGTGGTAGAGCGCTTGCCTTGCATGCCTGAGGCCCTGGGTTCAATTCCTCAGCACCACATAAGCAAAAAGAAAAAAGC